ACTAGAAACTCTATGTAAATCTTCCAAATATAGGAAACATAATTATTAACTTTGCATGTAGCAAAAACTTAGAAAAGATTGTTAACAGGATTAATGAAGGAATCAATTTCTTCACACTGATACACTGGATTGAATTCAACAGGATAAGATGTACTCAGCAACCTGACCATGGATTCAGACCAGTGCATTATGCAGGATGGGCTTTCTGACTTGGTGACAGCTCCTGTGAAAACACTTGGGCCAACATGAGGAGAGGCCATGAGGGCAAAGCCGTCACTCAGATCTTGGTATGGGCTCAGCCTCCCCTTGCTCGTTGCATGATCTTGGGTAACTTGCATAACCATTTTGAAGTTTAATTTTGTCTTTAAATAGGAATAATAATCATTTGTGAAGAAATTGAATTGGGGGAGGCATGATATTTTTGTGAGATTTTTTGTTTTCCTTTCTTCCTCTGCTTTTTTCCCCTTCTCCTGTTCCCTATTCGATCTTCGAGCGGGTGTATGCTCATAGCTTCTGGAAATGGTGGGGCAGAGGAGAAAATAGAAGGCATTCAGGATGTCTGCATTTGTTTTTCATGACTTTTTGAATGCAGGTTCAATCCCAGTTCCCTAATCAGGGATTGAACCTGCGCCCTCGGCAGTGAAAGTGCAGAGTCCTAACCACTGGACCTTCCGGAAATTCCCATGTTTTTCATAAGCTTAAGCACCAAGAGAACGGAGGGGAGCTGAGGTACAGATAAAAAGTTGAGACACAGCAGAGAAAGAGAAGCTATCTCTCCCTTCTCAGGTTGGAGGGAAGGAAGAGAGATGGTGGGGGGCGGTCCTGAGAGCAGGGAGTTAAGTGGTTTCCTGCACCCTGCCTCCCAGTTAGAGACCCAGAGAGGAGTCAAGGTCCCAGAGAGAGAAGGGCTCCTTGATGGACAGTTGTGGCCCATCAGGGAGTCAAGAAAGAGCCATAAACCTGGAGGACCTTCACCGATAACCTGTGTGAACCGATAAGCAGACAGCTTGGTACCTGCTGACACAGATAAGTCAAAGACTGCTTTCCTTCTGCACCTCACTCCCTGCCCCACCTCCCCAGCCGAAGAAAATAACAAGCCTCGTGAAAGGGGAGGGATACGATTGATTAAGGCAGAAGGAGAGATTAAAACAAAAATTGGGTTGAATTATTTACAGATTAAGGTAATGCCTTGAACAACTTTGATTTGTTAGAATAAAATTTATACACTCCTTGGCACACAGTAGAAGATCAATATAATAAAAGCTACTCCTATCCCAACTATAAATATCTTATATGGCTGTTCAAAAGGTCAATATTAACTTTTATTTACACAAAAGTAATCTTTAGTTCAGGAAAGGTAAGGATCCCACTCATCATGGGGGAGGTATGGAATCCACTTTGAGTACATTGTCAAGAGGGCTGATAATGACTCATGTGTCAATAGGGAAGGGTGAATCACACAGGTAGTGAGAAGTCTGGCATTGAACGGTTAAAATAACTGGGGCTGTGAAAAGTGAATAAGGGAAGGCTGAAGGGAGAGATGATAGCTGTCTTCAGAGGTTTGAAAGGCTTTTTGTGGAAGATAGCATGTCCTTGTTCTGAATGGAAGTTGATGGCATGATTGTTTGATCCAATCAACAGAAAGAGGAAGTTTCTCTTAGTTGAGTGTTCTTCAGTGCTAAGGATTCAAGCAGATGTTCAGTATTCATTATGTCTGGAATTCTGTCAGAGGATTCCTGTATGCAGAGGAATGTGGCCTTGTACTTTCCATTTTAGGATGATATGTGGGGCAGGCGGAGGCCACCAATATTATGAAATTCCAGGAAATATGCTGGGTGCTCTGTACCATTAGTTCACTGAGTCTGCCTGATGGTCTCATGAACTAAACACTGTAAGTGTTATTACAGATTAGCCTTATGTAGTTTACATAGTAAATTACCAGAGTTTATAGTGCCGGTAAACTACAGGACCAAGTTTTAAACCCAGGTTGTTGCATTAAAAGACGGTGTACTCGCCTCTACACACTCCATTTCCCTTTTGAAGAAAGTGAACAAATCCTTAGTTTAAGGACAGAAGTATCAAAATACACAGATTTTACTGATGTACTGACCAGTCGAAAGCACTGGCTTCTTGAAATACTTTAGCTATGATTCATGTAATTGTATAGCAATATTAGTACATACGTTTATGACTATTTAACATATAATAGCACATTAAGTATACTACTCCTGTCTTTTAGATGTATGTACATTTGTTTCCGCTACTACGATGGCTAATTTTATCTGTCCACTTGGCTGGGCCTTAGTGTTCAGGTACTTGGTCAAACATTATTCTGGATGTCTCTGTGAAGGTGTTTTTTAGATGAGATTAACATTGAAATCACTGGACTTTGAGTAAAGCATATTACTCTCCATAATGTGGGTGGGCCTCATCCCATCAGTTGAAGGCCTGAATAGAACAAAGACTGACCTCCTCCAAGAAGGAATTCTGCCAGCAGACTGCCTTTGGACGTGACTGCAACTCTTTCCTGAGTCTCCAACCTCCTGGCCTACCCTGTAGATTTTGGACTGGCACCTCATAGTCATGTGAGCCAATTTCTTAAACCTCTCTATATACATATACACATCCTGTTGTTTATGTTTCTCTGGAGAACTCTGATAAATTCAGTTATTTATATTTCTTTCTTTGCCCTTGTGTTTCCTGGTTTCTTTTAGCTTTAAAATTCTATGAGTGGAACAACTACATGTATGAGCTGGGAAGCAGATCCTTCCCCAGCTGAGCCTTCAGGTAACACCACAGCCTTAGCCAACACCTTCATTGCAGTCTCATGAGAGACACCGTACTCAGCTGTGCTCAGATTCCTGAACCTGAGAACTGCGGAATAATAAATGTTTTTTGCTTTAATAATATTCTATGAGTGGAACTTAACTTCCCTTGAGACGGTTTGGTGTAATAGACACAGATTTGAATTGCAAGACCTGGGTCCTAGCCTCTGGTCACTTGAATCTGTAGACCTGGGTCCTAGTTCCCAGTCACTTCCAGCTAGTTTGTACAGCTCTCACATCTCTGAGTCTCATTTCCCTGTCTGTAGTATGAGAGGACTAGACACTAGAACTTAAGTTTCCCTTAAGTGCTACAGTTCAATGTCTCTATTAATCACATGGTTTAGTCATCAGAGTAAATATTGATAAAAGTCACAAAAAGAACACACCCTGGATTTTCAGGCCTCTGGATTTGGTGGCAGTGTTCCAGCGTCCTTTGTGCAAGTAGCTAGCTGTCTGTGTTCAAGTCCTGCTCTACTTCTTTTTTTCCACCCCAACTGTTCTCTATCAATAGCCAATCAATGCTATGTGCATTTTTGGGCACTTCTGTGTGTGCCCCGTGTGTGGATGCGTGTCTGTGCATGTTCACAGTTCAAGCCGGGCTGCTCTGGCTCTGGATGTGCATACAGCACTGGCATTCGGTTTTGCCTCCAGCATTTTCATGGATTAACTGGAGATTCCGAAGGGGAAGGGAACGTCTTTGAGAGTTTGAGTCCTTGTTTTTCTCTTCTCATTTCCAAGGAGGTGTGTCCAGATCCCTTTGCCAGGCAGCGACTCTATAGGAGCACTGGAGGCCAGGCAGTGGACTTTCCCTACTGAGTAACTGGATTTGCATTTGCAAATCAATCCTGCTGAATGTTAGGTGAAGATCTACTCAGCCCCATGTTAATATCCCTTCATTTTTTCTTTTAAAGTGGTGCAGATTTTAAAAGGAAGCATGACTTATCTAGTCCTATCCCAGAGTCCCAGTGAAGCAGCAGGAGAGGGTTGAAGGAGGAGGATCCCAGGCCAAACTGTGGAGCAATCAGTTTGTCACTAGTCCTGCCAAGTTTTGGCTTTCACTGAATCCCTCTGCACCCACTTTCAGATTTCTCAGGCTGTTTCCACCTCATATCACAGCACAAATGCTTATTTCCAGAAGCGATCTGAACAATCCAAACCAAGGGCAATGGCAAAGCTTTAAAGTGTTTCCACTCCTTGGGGTATTTAGATGTATTTCAACAGAAGACAAAATTCTAAGGCAAAAGGATGGAACTACACGTGTCAACAAATCAGTGGGAGAAGATAGTGGGTGTATTTCTGTGGAAGGCGCGGTGGTAAGCATAGGTATATGGCGACTGCCGCCTGCTCAGCCCCCTCTTAAGGCTGGTCTTCATCCTTGGTTGGAGGGGGGGGGCTGAGGGACTCTCACCCCTTCTACCCCAGCAGAGACCAAGAGATGTGGTGATGGTATGGGGGGTCTGAGTGTGCTGTGAAGACAGACAGTTCTCACTTCACTCTGATTATTAGAAAGAAAAAGAACAAAAGAAGGGAGAGGGGAGAGAGAGATGTAAGAAAAGGAAGGAGGAGAAAAAAAAAAAAGCGACTGAAAAGTAAAAGAAAAGCAAGGCAGTGGCCCGGGAACCTGGCGGAGGGGTCCCGCGCAGACCCAGCTGGGCTGGCAGCGCAGCACCCCGGCGAGCAAGGAGAAGGTGCCCACATCCCCGCGGGCGTTCCGAGCTGCTCATTTCTCGCGAGGAGGGTCTCGCGGATTCAGGGCGCCCGGCTTTCGGGTGACCTCCGGGTCTGCCCCGCCCCGCCCCCTTCGCCGGCTGGCAGCCGCGCCGGGGCCCGGAGCCAGTCTCCCACTCCCTCCGGCCCCCGCAGCTTGCCCCTCGCTGCCAGTCTGGGGAGCGCCTCTCCCAACCCGCAGCGAGACTTCTCCCTCCTGCCCCGGGGCGGGATCCTGGGTGGGGCGGCTGCGCCCACGGGACGGTCCCCGCCGCCGAGCACCGAGGCTGGGGCCGCCCCAGGGCCGCGCGGGGCCCGGCCAGACGCCGCGCGCCGCCAGGGCAGCAGCACCTGAGCCCGCTGCCCGGGCAGAGCCTCGGCGCCGGAAGCGCGGGCCGGGTGGACGGGCCCCGGGAACAGCTCGAGCCCGCGGCGGGGGAGGGGGGGAAACGAGAGCCACAAAGGGGGTGACCACGTGCCGCCGCGCGCCAGCGGGGCCGAGGACCTACGGAAACGGACCCCTTCACCCACCCGCCCACCGCCCTGGGAGCACCCGGGGTACCCCGAGCACCCAGCACCAGCTCGAAGGCAGACCCAGCCGCTAAGCTTCAACGTTCTCGCCCTAACTTTCCTCCAACTTCTCTGTAAGGAGGAACCTGCCGCCCCGCCCGCCCCCTGGCCGCCGCGATCCGCACTTGAACTCCGCGGAGCCGGCCGTCCACCTTGCGCCACCCCGAGCGCCGGCTAGGAGCGGCTGTCGGGAAGCCCCGATGACCTCTCCAGAAAGAGCGTGAAGAAGGCTTCGGCCGCCGCGTTCGGCCCAGGCGCCAGGGCGGCTCCATCGGGGAACTCGGAGCAGCAGAGCCGGGGAAGGTGGTGGAGCATGACCGCGCGGCCCCTGGGGACCTCAGCGCAGTGATGCCGACATGTAAGTCCCCCCTTTCAGCTCAGAATTCCTTCACACCTTTACCTGTGCCTCCCCCTGCCCCACCCCAAGGGCTTTGTAAGGACTTCAACCGCATTGACGGAATAAACCGGTTTGTCTTCCCTTGGCCCCTCGAGGCACTGAGGGGTGAGCTGCTGCTGCCTGCCGGAGCTGTGACAAGTGTGTGCCGCTGGCTTTTTTCCAGCGAGAGGTAAACCTCACGTTTGGGCGGCGTAAAGCATAATAAAAAGGGCAGGGCTTCAAGAATGGGGAAAAGGTTTTGGATTCAAATTAAACAAGGAATCACCCGCGCGGCTGCTCCATCCAGGGGCCTCGCCCTGCCAAGAAGCCGCTCTCCTGGATCAGCACCTGGGGGCTTGGAAGGTACTAGTATGCCGAGAAAATGTTGACTTTACACATTGCCACCCTTGACTGTAGAAGTTATTCTTGGATCTTTGGGTTATTTGAATGGTTTAAAAAAAAAAAGCGCGCAGAAAAGGTTCACGGTGTACTTTGTAGATTAAAAAGTAATTAAAGAAGATGCCATTGAACGTGATAGGATCTGTGATGGGTCTTGTATAGAAGTTGAAGTGGGGGGTATAGGGCGATGAAACGCTTAGAGAAACCTAATGGGTTTTGCCTCTGGAATTGTCATCCAAGTGGTGAAGTGCCTCAGAGCGACCCTGCGGAAGGGCCACCGAGCACCCCCTAGCCTTCCAGAATGGAAAAAGGAAGGTTGTTCTCTGAAGGACCAAGCTTATTATTGTGGCCAACTCAGAAGTTACCTTTTCTTGTAATATGTAATTTTCCCTCTGGTGTTTTGTTTAATCTTGGGCAGACATTTTACTCCCTTCCACTAATATACAAGAGTTTCTAGAAATTGATATTCGCCCTCCCTCCCCCACCTTCTGGAGCCTTATTTATTTCCACTTAAATTTCCTCTTTCAGTGTAATACCCGGGAAGAGACAAGCCCCTCAGGCCTTTGTCCATTCCTTGCACCGTCTGCCTCCCTCCCTCCAGCACACATTTTCAAAATAGGAAAAAGGGTTAGTGCCCAGAAGCCTAGCACTTGGCAGCTCTGTTCCTGGTAGTGAGCAGTATAATTAGACAGAAACCACTTATTTTTATTAAACTGCATGTGAAGTAATTCCACACCTGTGAGTTTTAAAGTTCCATTTACCCAGTGGAATTAGCAAGGTATAACCTGAAAGAATTTATTTTGGGATACAGCCAACAGTCTCATATAAGACTTGTTCTCATATACAGGCAACACATTTTGAATGAATGTGAGTTTGTTTTAAACTTCAGTTTTTTCTGAAAATATAGTAAGGTTTTTAACAGCAGATATTTGTCTAGCTTCCTTTCAGCTTTCCTAGGTGATTTAAATCTTATGGGGAAAAAACTACGTTACACATGAAGAAAATATGAATACCAGGTTTTAAAATAAAAGATGTGAAACTGATCAACAAGTGATGTAAAAAATTTCTGGCTATGAAATTAAGTTATATAGTCCATTTGAATTCTATATGATTAAAACAATCTCATGTCATTACATAGTAAAAGCATGAATATTTAATCACATAAAATTATGGAGTTTAATACCCTGATTTGAGTTTCTTTATTGAGCTATTTTGACAGAAAGTTTTTCCATTTCTTGCCAGATTATAACCGTTTCTTTCTTCCCTTTTGCTGCTTATAATTCATATGGAATGGTTTAAGATTATCTGATTCTTTTTAGATATTAGTATGTTAGAGTATATGGAAGTAATACCAACCTTTCCAAGGTAAAGATTCCTACTATCTTGTTGAAAAACGTTCAAAAGGGAAACATAAACTATATTATCTACCTTTTAAATTTTAATTTTGATAGATTCAGATACACAAATTATTCAAGTATATTTTCTGCCTACTCCTGTGGATAGAGTATATATTGTTACACTCAAGTTCTGGAATTACAGACTTTATAAATATACTTTGGAGTTGTAGTGACTGCATATTTTTCATACCCTAAGAAATTTAATAGATTTAGCAAGACTTGCATTAATTGGTCTCAAGCTGCATGAAGCTACTGTTCCATTTATGGCTTATATAAATTACATGACATTGTGCTTTTCCAATGTGAATGGTGAATGAGGCTATTGTCTCTTGGCTTATGGGAAATATTAGAAGCTTGTAGCTTTACTGCCCAACTAGAAGCATGTCACTCTGATTTCTGGAAATAATGATTTGAAAGAGAATCAGTTTATATATTAAAAATAAACTGATAACCACTTCCTTAAACCTAACCATTTTTCTGACTGCCCATGTCATACAAGAGTTTACATCTCTGATGGGATGATCAAAAATTTCTTGATTTAGACTTTAGACTAAATAGGAAAAGACTTTGTTCAGTGTGTGTGGCATGCTTGGGCCAAAATTCCACTTCATTTCTAATGGGATGACATTATTACATTACCTACATTGGATGACATTAAGAAGCACACTGAGTGACTAGGGTGATAACATTTAAAGGACATTTCAATCATAAGTAAAAATGCCAATAAAACTTGAGTGTGCTACTTAAGTGTCATCTTACTTTCCTTTATGAGCATTCCTCAGGATGAAATTATTTGGAATGCCTTAAGGAAAACTTTAATATTGCTGTATTGAAAACATTTATAGCAGATATGAACAAGGCTTAACATATTTAGTATTGAATTGGTTAAAAAATCACATATCACTAGAAAGAAAATTATTTATAATGGAAAACTATACAAATGACTTGAATATGCCAATCTGAACAAAGGAAATCCAAATGAGACATTATTTCTTCTATCAAACTGGCAATGATTAAAGCAATAATACTCAGTAGTGATGAAAGTGTCATCAGATGAACACTGATACCCTTCAGTGTAAATGTGTATGTGTGTATTTAACTTTATTTAGAAATAGTTTTAAACCTACAGAGAAGTTGCAAAAATAACACAAAGAACAGCTGTATACTCTTTACACAGAAACACTTATTGTAAATATTTACCCCATTCATTTTATCATTTTTCTTCTTCTCTTCTCCCCTCCGCTGTCTGTACGTACGTACACACACACACACACACACACACAAACACACACATTTTTTTACTGAACCATCTGAAAGTAACTTACATTCATCAGGGCTTCAGGGTTTACTTTTTTAATTGAAATTTTAATTGAGGTATTTGTTGATTCACATGCAGTTTTAAGAAATAATACAGAGACAGCCCACGTACCCTTTACCCAGTTTCTCCCAATGGTGACATTTTGCAAAACTAAAGTACAATATCACAACCAGGATATTGATACAATACACCTCTCTTTTTCAGATTTTCCTAGTTTTACATGTATTTTTGTGTGTGTGTGTGTGTGTGTGTGTGTGTGTGTGTATTTCTCACGATTACCTTTTAATTTCATTTATGGTAAAGCCAGTTATGTACATTATAGCTCATATAAGGGTCAAGATTTGTGCAGATTTGAAGAATAAATCTTTCCGCCTTTTTGAAGTGGGGGGGGGTGAACCCAACTTAATAAAAGAAGTTACAATGAGTAATAGAATAGCACTTCTCTTTTTATTCATTGTGTAGGCTCAGGAACATGATCTTTAACCAGAAAACGAAACAAAATTGTAAGCAGGCTTGAATACACCAAATTACCATTCTTTTTACTCTGGAAGAATTAAGGTCTTCTCTGTGCTACTCCTCATGTCCCTTTCTGAAAAGATTTGCCATAGAAATACAGTTGGTATATGGAGAATGAAGTTATTTCTGACTATCGCTGATATTAAGAGAATTAGTACCATGTTAATTTCTCCACCAATTTAAAAATTTCTTCACTAATTTCTCTTTGTGACTTTTAGGGGAGTCAGTAGGAGTAAAGAGATGGAAGACAGTAGGTTTTTTAGACTTTAATGCATTTGGATTAAATGACATCTACAAGGAGTCATATTGACATTTAAAACAATTCCTATAAAAGGGTTGAATTCTAAAGCTTTCTGACACAGGATTTAAGTATTTTGTATCTTGTAGCCTATATTCATTGAAAAGGAGAGTGAGTTTGCAATAGAGTAGTAGCTTGTTTCTCAAAAAGGACAGTTGAGTTGGAAGGCAGGTGACACAGGGGGTCTTTTTGGCTCTGACACTACTGATTATGTGATCTTGGGCAAGTAGTTTAACATCATAGTTTTTTCATCTGTGAAATGATAGGTTTTATTGCATAACTTTTAGATTCTTTTCAGGTTATAGAAATCTATGACTCTTTCTACTTAAAAAATATTCTTATTCTTTTCAATAGAACTTTGAGGCCACAACTTGAGTGACACAAAATTGTACTGTGTTTTTTGTAGTTCCTGTTTAGAACCTTAGTAACCCTGTTCAGGATTTTCCATTCTTGTGAGAAAGTTGTTTAAATCCCAGGGATGTGTCTTTGCTAATTGGTCCCCTGAGAAGACATACAATGCTTTCCTTCCTCTGTTCTATTCTTAATTTATTTGTTTCTGTTCTTCAGTAAAGTGGATGAAAGGTGGTTTATGTTGGTTACAAGTTCTTGCCCTGTCCTGGGTTCCTTTTCTGTACAAAGTGATGGAGTCCTGAGAACTGGAATGCATTAAGCCCTTGGTTGTCCTTTGCAGCTCTTGTCTGACAGGATTGCAGGCAGCTTTTATAAAATAGCTTCAGGAGTGAATATGGAATTCCTAAGTGTCAGAACCTTTTATAGCAAAAAAAAGTTGCATGAGCACATGAAATAGTATTGAGTGTCGCCAAACTAATGAACATCATTCCCTGAGTATTGTTTAGAGAGCACGGGAACGTAAGAGGAGGCCACTATTCACATATTGATAACGGAGGCTTGTCATGCGCCACAAAGATTAAGAAGCTAGGAGTTCTCCTGGGCTGATACTCCTTCTATTAATATCTATAAGGCTGGCAGCCAGGCTTCACTGGTTTGCCCCTTTATTCCTCTGGGCCTCAGTTTCCTCCTCGGTGAAATGAGGAGGTTAGACTTCATCTTTGGTCCTTTAGATGATAACTTCTTTGAATATATAATTGTTCTTTTGTTTCAGAAGTACACTCATTCATCCCCAGCATGAATGGGAAACACCTCATTCATCCAGCATCAATGGGAAATGGACCCATTCTTCCAAAAAAGTGAACTTTCCATGTGACAAAAATTTACAGGCTACCCTTTTTAAAGCACTCACTAAGTTCCATGCAATGTTACATCTAGTTCTTTTTGGTGGATAATATTCTATTTACAGAAGAGAAAATAGGCTCAGAGTTTAAGTACTTGACCCTGCCCCCAAAGCACACGGTAAACAGAAGCACCAGGATGTAACTACGTGCTATTCCAGAGTTCACATCCATTATTATTACGTTATTATTAATGACTCACTATAACATCTTGCTTCTTGTAAACAGTAACACTGATTTTAATTTCAAATATTTTGGATGGATGTATTTGAAAACATACCTTCTATACAAAAATCCTCTATTATTATTGTTTTTAAAAAATTTTCATTGGAGTATAGTTGATTTACAATGTTGTGCAAAAATGCTCTTTAGGACGTAGCCTTTTTCTCATGTAGAAATTCCCCTAGGAGCTGCATGATGCTGGAGCTTGTAGTTTGGTGAATATAAAAACATGTCCTGAGTATCAGATACTATTTTAAATTTCTGTAATAATGGCATACATGAATAATCCATTTCTTCTCTGTTCTAAGTGGATCCCAGAAGTAGCCACAAAGTTAATAGATTGGTTTTGGCTTATAACATTGATCCTATTATCTGTTCCTGGTTCAGTCCTTTCTTTTGGTTTTGCTGTTGACAGAATAACCACACTTATATTAGAATGCTCAGGATGGTAGTAAAAATAAAAATAGCTAATATTTATTGAGTACTTGCTGAATGTTAGGCATATTTCTTAAATGACATGATTTGATTTAATCCTCCAGCTGCTCCATAGACTAGATTCTATTGTTCCTCTTTTACAGGTGAAAACTAGAGGCACAAGGTGGTGAAGTCAATTTTCCAAGGGTTGCATAGTTCATAAGTAGCAAACCCAGGTCTGTCTGACTCTAGATCTTGTTCTCTTTGTAACTTAAGTAGTCTCTAACAGTAAAAGACAGATTGAAAATGCAGGCTTAAGGCAAATGCAAGAATCAGTTTGATGTCTATTTTTGCTTATTCAAGTATTTCTCTTACAACTTTCTGGTTTTCTATTTAGTATTATACATTTTATTCCAGATAAGCAACCTTCAGGAAAAAAGTTATTACTGTGGCCCTAAAGTATCTTATTAGTTGCTCCTCTTTTTAGAAATAAAATGACTCTCGATTACCACTTACAATCAAAGTAACTCTCTTTGGGGATTTTAAGATCTGGAGGTTTCTTACTGCTACTCACCTGTTCTTCCTGCCTCATGACTCTTCTGCTCACCAGTTCATCTTTTTGTGACTGACTTTTGCAGCTGCTGCCCCCTTCAGTGGTTTGCCTTTTTTGATAGGGCTGAGTCAATGAAAAGTATCACACCACTGTCTGAAGCCAAGATAATATGTATGTCCCCATCTAAATCATTAAGTATAATTGTGAGTTTAAAGATGACACTGTTGGACTTCCCTGGTGGCACAGTGGTTAAGAATCTGCCTGCCAATGCAGGGGCCATGGGTTCGATCCCTGGTCCAGGAAGATCCCACATGCCTCTGAGCAACTAAGCTCGTGCACCACAACTACTGAGCCTGCGAGGCACAACTACTGAGCCCACGTGCCACAACAACTGAAGCCCGTGCGCCTAGAGCTGGTGCTCTGCAACAACAGAAGCCACAGCAATGGGAAGTCCACGCACCACAACGAAGAGTAGCCCCCCTCACTGCAACTAGAGAAAGCCTGCGTGCAGCAACAAAGACCCAACACAGCCAAAAATAAATAAATAAAAATTTAAAAATGTTTTTAAAAAAATGAGACTCTTGTACGGAGAATTATTTGAGAGTTTTCAAAGCAGCACCTCTCCATCTAATGTCATTTATTAGTTTCTATAATACTTGGTGTTTACTAGCCATTTAAAAACTTTGATAGCTATTATATATAAAGAAATTAATCTTTTTAGAATGTTAGTGCTTCTGTACTTAATTTTAGGGGAAGGAAGAAAGTTTGGGCATTTTAATTTAAATATTTCCATTTGTGAAGCAGCAGATGTTATAAAATGAAAACGTTTCCCTAGAGCCTAAATTTCTGGGAGATTATAGAAGAGGTTGATAAAAACATCCTCTTGCTACTCAGATGGGCATGTGACTGGTGATGCTGAAGGTTGATGCCGAAATAGTTTTTTTTTTTTATAAGTGATTTTTATCTTGTATTATCTGAATACTTCCCCATCTTCATGAAGAAATCGTCTATTATATATTCATTGATAAGGAAGGTGCCACCAAGTGACAAATAAAATGCATGGATTTTTCTCTTTTGCCTAATTAGCTTAAAGGGGATGCTTAGTTTATCATCTTCAAAGTTTCTTTTTTTTATTTGGAAGCAAGGCTGAATCTGAAGGTTCCTATTTTCCAGTACCTGCTGGAAACCTACAGATTTTATTAACCGAATGCCTTACTGAATCTAAGTGTCCTGACTGTTGCTTTTTTCCATGACAGGATGTTTCACTCAGGCCGAATGTGGAGCTGTCATTCGAAATGGAAGCCAAGTTCTCTTTTGTTCTTATTTGCTTTATATATTGTGTATGTTCCTCCCTCAGGTAAGTAAGACTCTTTTTCTTTCAAACTCAGAATTTAATAATGATTACATTGCCTTCAGTGTAAGTGTGCCTCTTATTTGTTGATGTTTTCTGTCTTTACAGGCTTTTTCTGTCCATGGCCTCTCATTCCTCTTTAATTATGTGTGAATTCTATTACTTTGATCATTGTTTTATTTTCTAATGAGTGTATTTCTTTAATCTTAGCCACATTTCTTTTAGTTTTATTTATCTCGCCCATATTGAATGATGAGATAGCTACATATCTGACATTAAAAATGTGCTAGCTGTTTCTTCTACGGTTGAATAAATATACAGTACTTAATTCTCTCTCTTTTCAAGTTTTCATTCAGTTCTTTATGAAAAGTAAAGTATAGGCTTTGCTATTTTTATTTATTGCCAAGTATCAGACAGGAATTTGAAATTAAGTTTTTAGATCATGAAGGTTATTTAGTTGACTTAAAATGCTGTGACAAAGTTAATTTTAATTACAGTACATTTGGAATGAAAATATTTAATTTTTAAAAAGAGTACAATTTTTTTCTCAACTTTGAAATAAGACCTTTTTAGCTGTTATTGAAAGCCAGATTTTTCTATAAACAGCTAATTATATGAATGAGCCAATAAGAACTTGAGGAATGTGAGTGATCTTTAAAAGTTATCTGGTTTTGTTACTTGAGCAAACTGCATTTTTCTTAAGCCCATTTTGTTTTACACTTTTTATTTTTTTTACTGTTGCCTTTATTCAGTTTATTATATTTTCCTTTAGAATGAAGTCATTACTCCTGAAGCCTTATGTATTGATTACTTGGGATTTACTCAAGATTTTATACATTCCACGTTTATAACATACCTGTATGTTATTATAAATAATACATTTAACAAATCTGGAAATAGATTATCTGCTAAAATTGCTAATTCATGGATCAAGATATTTAACTAGTGTTTAATATACAAATACTTTTTTTCCAAGCCATCAGGTAGTTTCAGCTACTTACTTGGGAAATCCCTGGTACTTGTTTACTGGCTTCAAAACAAAATTGATCTTTGAGTGGTTTTTTTGGTGTATTTGTTTCAATTTCCTTATAAAGTCTATCTTTCTGTTACTTTCATTGCCAGAAAGAGGAAGCACACTTGTAAAGAGATCTGAAAATTATATATACATTAGATTTTTATCATGTACAGTGTTGAATTATTTCTTAACTTTCAAAAGTGACCCTCCAGGAGCCAATTACATGATGTAAGATAAATTATGAGATTAAAATTCATTTTTGTTAGGTCATAGCATTTGTAAATTTTCAAGGCTTCTTCAAACCTGAAATTGGGACTTTTTATTTTAGATGTCAACATTTTATTTGGTATATGCACCTTCATTATTTTAATCATTTGAATAAATGAAACACATGTTTTTAGACTAAGTAAATGGGGTCAACTGGGCTGAGACTAGGATGGGGCAAGGGAAGCACCTGGGATGTAAAATTTAAGGAGGTGCTCATTCGCAAGGGCATGGGAATCAAAGTACTTAAATGTGTTTTTAAGTTACTGTCTGACACAAGAAATCTTTTAAAAAATTTCTTTTATTACCCCACATGTTGTGTGCATCACCTAAGGCTTTGTGACAGATAGTTACCTGTGTTTTCTCATGAAGCCAGAATGTTTTGTGTCTATATATCTTAAATATGACTCACTTAAAATGCCACCACCTCCCACATGAATATTTGAACTCACAGAAATACATTAGGGGCTATTATTGGCATTTTAATATCAAAATTGTGCCTTATAAGTAACTCGGTGTAGGATTTGTTAAAATAATGCATATTGAAACTTTAGCTATATCTAATTTTCAGAGTCCTATCTTTCAATCATGGTGAAATACCACTATATTTTTGAAGAACATCTGGTACTTAACTGTGATTTATGTCTCTGTATAGGCAATCTTTGACTTTTTTCACTTCTCTGGATGACCCCTAGGTGATCTCATCGAATCCAGTGGCTTTCAGTGGCATCTTGACGCCAGTGTCTCCTCAGTCTTTATCTTTGTACCCGGCCCCTTCTTGGACCCAGAGTCATTTCTTGGGTTGCTTATTCTCATACACTTGGATATATAATAGTCCTCAGACTTCACATGTGTGAACAGGGTTCTTTTTTCTTTATATTAACTTTTTAAAAACATTTATTTATTATTGGCTGCGTTGGGTCTTCGTGGCTGCATGCAAGATTTCTCTAGTTGCGGTGCGCGGGCTACTCATTGCAGTGGCTTCCCTTTGTTGCGGAGCACCTGCTCTAGGCTCACAGGCTTCAGTAGCTGTGACTCGCAGGCTCCAGAGCGCAGCCTCAATAGTTGTGGCGCACAGGATTAGTTGCTCTGTGGCATGCGGGATCTTCCCGGACCAGGGCTTGAACCCATGTCCCCTGTGTTGGCAGGTGGATTCTTAATCACTGTGCCACCAGGGAAGCCCTGAACAAGATTCTTGATCCCTACCTCCGATCCTCAAATCTGCTTCACTCTCATGCATTACAGTGCATCCTACTATCCTGCTAGTCTCTCCTACAGTCACTGTGTTTCAGATACATGTCCTTTCTATTCCTTAACCATGCTTTCTTAGTACCCTCTTCTCCCTAATCCACATGCGCCTGGTTCTTTTTTGATACTCAGGTCTTAATTATTACCATCTCAGATAAGTCTGCCTATCCCCCAATTCAAAGGAGTCCCCTTATCACTCTCATTTCACCCTTTAGGGATAATCTATTGATTTTGGTTACTCTCTTGGTTGTTAATATTTTGTTAATTTGACTGTGTAGCTGGGTTAGAGGGTTGGCAAAACCTCTTGATTGTTAAGCTTGACACTTAGTTCAGATGAGTAAAAATTAGGATCCTGTAGTTTAATTCTGATAATATCCACAATTTAACTCATAAAATAGAACTGCAATGTTAAATCTTCTAGGTAAGTTAACATTTGTAGTTTCGTGGACATTTACAATTTTAAAAAGTAGTATAGAAACAGAATACCTTGTCTCTTGATAGGTGATGAATATAACTTTTTTTTTTTGCGTTACGCGGGCCTCACTGTTGTGGCCTCTCCCGTTGCGGAGCACAGGCTCCGGACGCACAGGCTCAGCGGCCATGGCTCACGGGCCCAGCCGCTCCGCAGCATGTGGGATCTTCCTGGACTGGGGCACACACCCGTGTCCCCTGCATTGGCAGGCGGACTCTCAACCACTGCGCCACCAGGGAAGCCCTGGATATAACTTTTAATAAGAACTACAGCAAAATAACATTTGAATATTTAAACCGGTCCCACAGAAGTACAAATTACAAAATACGATTGTTTTTTACCCACTAGCTTGACAGTATTTAGAAAGGTTGATAGCATCCAGTATTATTAAAGTTTAGGTAAAGAAGACACACTAACACTGTTGGCTCTGTCTTTTGGGAGAGTAATTGGGCAATATTTTTTTAGAGTAAGAATGTGTATTTTCTTTAACATATCACTCCCACATGTACGCATCTATCCTATAGAAATAAAACCCATAAATATATAGAGAAATATGTACCCATATGTTAACTGTAGCATTGTTATAGCAAACAATTGGTAAAGACTCTGATTGTTCATCAACAAGGGAATGGTTGTGTAAATTATTTTATATTCATACCATGCAATACTGTGTAGCCATTCAAAACTATGTATATTGGCTTGGAAAGATAATAAAGTTAAGTTAAAAAGCAAATTACAGAACAATATAAGATTATCCTAGATTTGTAATAAGTTGTACTACAAAACTGGGATTATTATGTGTGTATACTTTTGTGTAAGACTGTATAAACATTAATAAAACATGGAATGATACACATCAGGTTTTAAAATGGGTTATCACAGGGGCGTAAAGTGGATTATCTCAGGGTGGGAGTGAGAAGGGGGAAGGTGATGGAACTTAATACAACTCTGAATGATTTGCCTTGTTACAATGAACATGTATTACTGTAGGAATTTGGGAAAACAAAAAAATCCTAATAAGATTCCTTGGTATTAAAAACAGAAGCCCCATTAAAAAAACTGCCAGAGGGCTTCCCTGGTGGCGCAGTGGTTGAGAGTCCGCCTGCTGATGCAGGGGACATAGGTTCGTGCCCCGGTCCAGGAAGATCCCACATGCCGCGGAGCGGCTGGGCCCGTGAGCCATGGCCGCTGAGCCTGCGCGTCCGGAGCCTGTGCTCCGCAACGGGAGGGGCCCCAACAGTGAGAGGCCCGCGTACCGCAAAAATAAATAAATAAATAAATAAAAATAAAAAAACTGCCAGAGAGACTGTTGACATGTATGAATATTATACTTTTATAAGTATGGTTATAATGCTAGTCATGTAACCGTTACTCCGACTCTTCCTTCACTTGATATGAATCTCTAAAAGTTGTTTCAAGTAAGAACCTCTTTTTATGTAACGTGACACACTATGATCTGAAGATGAATGATGATATCTCAAGCAGACAGAAGGTTGTGGCTTCAAACAAAGTGGGAAACAGACAGCCAAGAGCCAACGGATTCCTTAGCAACCAGGAGCCTGTTTCCACACAGATAGCCTTAGTCACGAGCACTGAGGGAGGAGCCTCCCTTCTCTTCCGAAAATTGATGACATCAGCAGATTATTTCAAAGCTCAATGTTATTCTGATAGTTATGATACATCAACAGCTAAAAGGGGAAATGTTTCTGAAAGTACAATCTGGCCTGAATTGTGTGCTTTCTAACCCATAGGATAGCACGGTTCTGGAAGGCAGATGATTGGACTAATCTTGTGCTTTTTTTGGTTTGTGTGTTAATTTTACTCATGATCATCAATTACATTACAGTTTGTATTGGAGTGTTAGACATCTTTTATACATATTTTTATATGCAATCAAATGACTTTCGAATGCATAGAAAAATAATCCCTTTATAAATCTGCCAGGTTTTTCTTCTAGCCGTTTTAACATTAATATGTCATTAATTACTAAATAAGTATATTTGAAAG